ATGAACGGCTGGATAGCTCAGCGGGTTCATGTGTACATTGGTGGCCGGGCCCCGGGCCCCGTGACTACCTTCATGCGCCCTCCATACTGTTCTTATGTGTAATGAATACAATGTACTGTATTTGCTCAAAGCTTTTCATTTTGAGTTGTATTAACTACAACGGCAAGTTGTCTTCCAATCTGGTGAGAATTGGCGCTTATATTATAGGCCAGCTCCGGGCTTGATGTCTTTTTGGAGGTTTAACCCTTTCGCTGCCAATTTCACAACTATTGCGCCGGCATTTAAACATTGAAACCTGCTCACGGCCACTATATTGAGATGTTGTTTATATTTTTACTGCATATCTACTCTTTTACTTCTGCATATACATGCCACCATGCACCCCCCTTCCCGACTACACCCACCCCGCCATTCCTCCTAGGCTTACCTGTCCCTCCTGGGTCCCGGGGAACCCCATAGCATGTGTCAGGATGGAGAGCAGTGTGGGGGAGACCAGCAGACCTTCATTCACCGGATTATCTTCTGTGAAGGATGAACCTGGTAGTGCTCAGCTTTGAGCACTTCCAGGTTCAGGACTGTCAATTAAACCCTAGTGGCTCTGACTGGGGAAGCAGCTGATCAGCACAGCCTGTTCTCGATCAATAGAGGGTGCAGGGGTGACATTTGGGATCTAATGGACACCAGATGTCTCTAGTCACCTGCACTATGCTATCACATACAGGGCTTGTTAGCCCCCTTGTGATAGCAATGAAGTTAAAAAAAATAGGTTTAAAAATAAATAAAGTAAATAAATAAAAAGACACATTTTTAAATGCCCCCCCCCCCACACACACACACACGTTCCAGCAAGCAGCTTAATCTGCCAATACTTTATTCTATAGAGTCTCTGGTTTTAGAAAATATCTTAAATATGTGCACAGAAAAACAAGGACCGGTTCTAGAGCTGCCTGCCCCCTGTACCTCTTCTTCACCACAGGATGTCCTCAGTCTTTCGGATTCAGAAGACTGAGGAAAGATTGTGAGTGCAGGGAGTCATAGCCCCGCCCCCTGAGTACAGCGCCTGCACTCACAGCGTCATTGTGTCACGTCACCACTAGGAGAGGAAAAGGATTCACAGATGTGAGTGGGATCAAATTAAGAATCCCGTCAGCCAGCATTTGTATTGGTGCTCAGACGGCGGCGCTTGAATGTTCTTTTATAGTTCCATGTTTTCACCATTATAAATATGTGACATTTTCTCCCAATGAAGTCACATATTGTGTTTGTTCCTCCGGCTGGGTGTTGTCTGGTCCCTAACACGTACAATATGCCATTGTCCCCGGGGGCCCTGGCACGGCTCATTGTCATCCTGCGTTCTGATACAATAGTTGCTCCTTAAGGCTGAATAATGAGCGCAGAGTCGACGCGCGCAAGGCCGGCCGTATTTCTCACTCGCATTAATTTCATACACAGCTAAGAAGAATTGCCGGTAGTTACACAAAGAACACACCATTAACCATAACCCATTATGCCTGACAGCCATTGTAAAGATTGCCGCTGGCAGTCCTCTCAATAGATAATTGAATCTACAACTGACAACCTTTCCCGCTGTATAAAACTTTCCAAAACGCCAAAAAGATTTTTTCACTTTTTATCTCATTTTATATTTAATTCTATTTTATTTATTTTTTTAGCTGACAGTTAAAATTA